ATCTTTAAAATACTGACACTAGACTAGAGGTGTGCATCGGATCGGATTGGACGTTTATAATCCGACAATTGCCTAATCTTTAAAATCCGATCCGAAATTGTCTAATCCGAATCCGATCCGAGTTTTGAAAAAGAATTCCAATCCGATCCGAAGAATTCTTTAATAAAATAAATTTCTCATTCAAGTTGAAATATTTAACCAAATAAATATAAAAGCAAGAAATACATGTCAAGAAGCTGACAAAGTGACGTCCAATTGAAGTATCAAACGAATAATGCAGCGAAAACCGCGATGATACTTTGATAAATGTATGGATAATTAATTCTTGCGATAATGCATGGATAATTAATTCATTTTATTTCGGATATCGACGTCCGATCCGACTACGAAACAACTTTATCAATCCGATCCGAAATTTACATTTTGGTTCCGAAATCCGAACGAATCCGATCGGATTCAGATCGGATTTGCACACCTCTACAATAGACCTTAATTTCCCCCATTTGAGTGAAATTTTGATCTAGACAAGCCTGGACAAAAATTTCACCACAGCTTGAAAGAGCATCACAAAATTAGTAATATTCCGAAGTTTCGTTGAATGTTGTAAAATGCGGATAATAAAGCCTTGCGAAGTTTGCCGTTTTTCAGTCATTTTGCATTACAAACGGGAAATTGATAATCAGATGATCAAACTGATTATCAATTTCCCATTTGTAATACAACAAGACGCCTGCTCAGGCGTTCACACTGGCCTGAAAATAACGAGATACGTGCTATGGTGCAAAAGGCAGGAATACAAATCTTAAACCGCAACAAATTTTATGGACTTTTTAAAAAAATAAAAGACCTTTTCGGGAGACGTAATGGAGCTCGATGCACGTGCAAATTATGCCGACCTACAGAATCGATTTCCGGTTTTTCCTAACAACGCGTTGTTTTCATGTGCGTTCCATGGGCCGCGCTAAAAATATAAATATTCTGTAAATACCGAAATAAAAGATGAGAATCTCAAGACACAAGCTTGAAAATAACACTATAAATAATGTTTTCGATTCTGGTTCCAATAACATTATCACGAAAAAGATATGTCCAAAGGGGCCGAAGTTATGTTCGGCAAAATGTATGGCTAGTTTACATTGTTTGTTGTATTATGAAATATGATACCATACTTGTATTAAAATTCACGTCGAACTAATGTTATTGTAAATGAGTAGACTTGCCACAAGTCGACCTCGAACGAAATGCGTTTCTTCGAGGTCGACTTGTGGCAAGTCTAGCAAATGAGAACCATACAAATTATACAATAATGGTTCTAGTTCTTGTTGGTATTTGAACGCACGCTTTATCTTTCAGTATAGCTACCACAAAGCTTTTCGTGCGGATTATATTTCGTGGAGTACTAAATATTATATTTTGTGGTTTTCGAGTCATTACACAAAGAAAAACACATTAATTCAACACGCAAGAAAGTCCAGAGTACGACACAAAGTAAAATACATAGGAAACCGGCACAATTCTTTGAAAATTCAACGAAACTGTGTAAAATATAGTTTGATCACTCTGTGACAAGCCGCCATTGCAGTTCGGAATTGTGCGCATGCGTACAAGTGTATAGGCTAATAAACGAAAAATGTACCACAAGCATGGCATGAGTCGGCTAGTACGTACATAAATACGTAATTTGTTGCTATTATATTTGAATCATGGAACGAAGGGAATCGATGGCATTTTGGCTTAATCGTTGCACCTTGAGCCTGCGATGCGCTAACGCAAACTCGATTTCTCGACTACGAAAAAAACAGAAAAAGAGGGATTTAAGACACTTGGCCTACAGGCCAGTGTAATGACTGAAAAACGGCAAACTTCGCAAGGCTATATTATCCGCATTTTACAACATTTCGCAACGAAACTTCGGAATATTACTAATTTTGTGATGCTCTTTCAAGCTGTGATGAAATAATTTTTGTTTAGGCTTGTCTAGATCAAAATTTCACTCATAAAGGGAAACTGGTCTATTGATTAATTTTAAGCGGCTACATTATCCATGACAAACCGCATAGAATCATATTACCTAGTCTTTCCTGCAATATATAGTTAATTAAATACGCCTTCGCCCATTTAGTTCTACTAAATTGTAATTAAATTGTAAATTTCGACATACTAAAACTCTATTAACAATTCGAACCGACTTGGCCACGTAGTTCAGTTGGCAGAACATTGGACTAGTATCCCAAAGGTCGCGGGTTCGACTCCCACCATGGCCAAGCAAACTTTTCAGCTTGCCCGCTGTGGATGCATACTCAGAGTAACGTCACAAATATCATACTAAAACTCCGTTTTCTGACCATCAGAATTCTGTCAAAACTTCCCCAAAGTCCAGGAAATGGCATTTAAGAGAATCTAAATTTAAAAATTTCCTACGGCCTTCGGCCCTCGTTCCCAGTCCCTAATAAAAAGAAGCTTCCTACGGCACTGCATGCTTCTGTAATATGTCTTTGCGTAAACTATGTGCATTTTTGTTTGTAAATTGCATCTTCATCAGTTTCCGGATAGCAAACACCTTCGTGGCTTCGTATGCCATAATGATTCGGAAATTTTCTTCGTCATTCGGAAATTTTTGGCCTACACCCCCCCCCCCCCCCAACTATACATGCTAGCTACGGCCCTGATTTGGGCATCATGGACATCTTCCTTCGCAAGCATGGGAAAGATTCGGTAAGCACTGTCCGATTCAGCCTGACCTCACTGCCGAGGCTACCATACACAGAGTTGCCACCTGCTCTCCATGTCCTACTCTGGACAAGTAATCTGCCATTGCCAGTTCTGGTGACTTTCCTGCCCGATGTATTGGATCGAATGGATATTGTTGAAGGAATTCCAACCACGCCCTCGCTTCCCGCAAACATCGTTTAAGTCAAGGCTTTCGTTAATCCTGAGTGTTCTAGTTTGGGCAATTCGTCAACCGAATGAAGTTCAATCGCATGATACTGAGCTGTTAATTTAAAGGCATTACGAGAGAAATATACCAAAATAAAATCTCGGGAAGCGCCTACCAGCAAGAGTGGGCGAATATATCTCAACAGCTAGGTGAGAAATTTGATGATTATTATAAGGGACGGACCATTAGAAAAGTGATGGGGGGGGGGGGATTTTCTAAGAGCCGGCAATATATTTTTTTTGTACTCCTATAGAAGAAAATTTTTTTCTCACTTGATGGCTGGAAATATTTTTTTAAGTGAAATTAAGGCCCCGTTTACACTGTCAAATTCTGTCAAACTAATAAGCATTTGCTACTAACCATTGCTCCGTAACGGCAAAAGAAGATGTCGTGACCAGCGAATCCGGTATAGTGTAAACAGGGCATTATAGGCCTATCTTCCAAGCTAGGAGTTTTTTTTGCACTATGCCTGGGAAGATTTTTTTCCCCTAATTTTTTTCTGGGAATAATTTTTTTTTTGTTTTTTATTACAGTTACTTTGAACATTTCGGCACTTTGTTTAGAATATTGCGGTAACTACTGTGAATGTAGCATGGTGTTCGGCAAAATATACATCATAATATTCAGCATCATGCTATCCTATTCTGGAAGTAACACTGTCCGTCAATTGGGCCAATAACATGTTCGCTCGTCCTTCTGGAGACGACCACCGAACAGGCTTGTTGATTTCACTCGTATTTGCACGCTTGGCTACCTTCCATGCAGCTTCAAATTTCTCAAATTCGTCTGGCGAGAAGAGATATAGTAATACAGAGAGGAAACACGCGGCAAATTATGTCACTCCGATATATTCAGTCTATTAACTATAGAAATTAGAAAATTATATTAATTCACTATTTTATTAAATTTTGACCATGCAGAGGAAAAAACTATACATATTATAGAAGTATTCATGTTTTTTTTATGCAAGAGTTATATTTTGAGGAATTTATGTCATTCGCTGCTTTGTTTTTTATACATGAGCATCTGAAATTCCCAGCCAGTGCTTTTCACGATTTTAATAAGGAGTACATAGGGAAAAACAAACTTTTGCAAAATAAAATGTTATGTTAACACTTTTAACAAAAGGAAATCAATAAAAGTGATCGCTTACCGATATTCTACAATAATTTATTGAACAAAACTTCCATGGGTATCTCATTTTTTTTAAAAAAGCGATTTTCACCTTTCGAACGGCGTTTTACCTATCTTTTAATATGAAATTTCAGCGACGCCACTGGCTGGAAGATTTTGCGTGGCGCGTGGAACGCGTGACATAAACATTCAGGTTATCGAGGTGTCTGTTTCCTCTCTGTATATCTCTTCTCTGTGATAAAACAATATGGCGAAATATGGCGACTATAGGGAATCCTGCTGGTCAACATCTCGCAGGCGCTCGCATTGCCGTGCGAGATGCCCAAAAACCATTTCTGACATAGGCATAGCCTTTAAGCCTCTTTTCCACTCCGGCATCGCAACAGTAACTCGCAAGCTGGCTGCGTGTGCTTTCAACCAATCACAATTCTCGACAGTTTATTTTAATCAGATGCAAGCACTCGCAGCCAGCTTGCCGATTGGTTTTTGCGATGAGTGGGAAAAAGTAAGGTAATTTAAAAATGAAATAGTAAGGTAATTTAAAAATGATCAAAATAGCAAATTAATTAATTATTTCTCTTGTTTTAAGAAAAAACTTGTATTTTTGATAAAATTTTATATATTGTGAAATTATTTTTTCATAATTTTTGGGAAAGCAAAAGAAGCGTGAAAGCTGGCCGATGCACTAACCGACAACAACGTAAAAAGTAAAAATCTCCCTTTCTCAAGTCGTCCGCTACAGTATGTTGAATTTTATCCGAACCTTCTGCGTTTATGTCATATTTATAACATTGTTTGGGGTGGAGGTTGGATTGCTGTCTAAACAAATTTGCACGTTATTGTACGGTTAACCTCCAAACTAAACCTGGGGATAAACACAAACCTAACTCTAGGTTTAACCCTAACCCTAGGCTTAACTGCAAACCTAACCCTAGGGTCAACTACTACCCTTGGGTTAACCCCAACCCTAACCATAGGGTTCCAACCCTAACCCTAAGCTAGATATGGGTGTAGCTTCAGGGTTAGGGTTATGACTAACTTTTATGATCATATGCAAATACCTTATAATTTGCTCAAACTGTTTTGTGGGTCTTACATGAAGTATTTGCCTTTTTCATGTCACATTGTACTGTTCTGCATTATTACATATTACATTCTGTTCACAGAATAAAATGATAGCTGTAAATGAAAGAAATACTTTCAAGATCTATGGTTGTATTTGTGCATGTACAGGTTTTTGTGTGCTCATTATTATTAATTTAAATATTACTTGTTTCTGACACAGATAATTATCTTTATATACATATCAATATAACGTACGACTAATTCGCGCATGCGTTTCATCTATTAAAATATGCTATAATAATGGCCACATCTATATTAGAAGACTTTAACGTCTGAGACAACGTAAACGTCTGAGTTAAGTCCATCTAAATATTAATCACTTACTATGTACGACACGTCAAAACAAAAAAAAAGGCGCATTTAAGACCGCTTTCCAGTTATGCATTTTCCATACAGGCGTACGCGCACAGAAAAATTAAATCCATTCACAAGTTGCTATATGAAAGAATTAAATCAATTACGAACGGACAGCATTTAGTTTTGTGTGGTACTGATATAAAATTTTCAAAGATTTAGACTTTTCTGCACGACATGCACATGTGAAAAACGTAACGCTTAAATGGAAAGCCGCCTTTAGCAAAGAATCACAATGGATAGTTGTCATATCGAAATATAATCGTCTCGCTAATTTGTCCAGACGCTAAAAATGCCAATATTAATAATAAAACACGGCCAATCGACACGTTTGGCGTATGTGTGGTGTTTACATTCGAGGGGCAATTCACTCCAAAAATCCCGTACACTTCGTCAAAAAATCCGGGAAAAATCCAGAAAAAATCCATGAAATCCTCAAAATCCGATGAATCCATCAAAATCCGAAAAATCCTTTAAAAACCACAGAAATCCTTCAAAAATCGACAGAAATCCTTCAAAATCCTCAAAAAAATCCGCAAATCCACAAAAAATATATGAAGTACTTGGTGTAATTTACTCGTAAAGGTTCTTTGCCACGTTCAAAATGGCGGACAGCGAAAGCTAAACGCTCACGGTGATCGCTGTCATTATATTTCGTAATTATTGGACCACTCTACATTTCCATTTATACGCTCGAGTATATGCTAAGTTTTTTTAGCCTATTACTACTAAATATGTGTTCTTGTTACAATGACGTTATGTTGTAAAATATAATTACAAAACCAAAAGTTATTCTCTTTTACTGTTTTTGAAAGAATAATGAACTTGTTTGAATTTTAAACAAAATGACCGCATGCCCAGCCGTCGTTAGTTTCTGAAGGCTGTGGTCCTAGTCCCAGTCCTCTGCTCGACCCTGACGTCCTGGCATAACGTTGACGTTGTACAACTTAAGATTATTTGTTCAAAACGTTACCTAGCTCTATAACTCTATAATTTAAAAAAAATCCAGAAAAAATCCGAACAAATCCGGAAAATCCAAACAAATCCGGAAAATCCAACAGATTTTCAAAAATCCAGAAAAAATCCGAACAAATCCGGAAAATCCGAACAAATCCCGAAAATCCAGCAAATTTTCTCTTCAAAAATCCGCTAAAAAATCCGGGAAAAATCCGCTAAAAAATCCGCGGATTTTTAAAAATCCGAAAATCCCGTACGCTTTTTTGGAGTGAAATGCCCCTCGGGGCAATTCACTCCAAAAATCCCGTACACTTCGTCAAAAAATCCGGGAAAAATCCAGAAAAAATCCATGAAATCCTCAAAATCCGATGAATCCATCAAAATCCGAAAAATCCTTTAAAAACCACAGAAATCCTTCAAAAATCGACAGAAATCCTTCAAAATCCTCAAAAAAATCCGCAAATCCACAAAAAATATATGAAGTACTTGGTGTAATTTACTCGTAAAGGTTCTTTGCCACGTTCAAAATGGCGGACAGCGAAAGCTAAACGCTTACCGTGATCGCTGTCATTCTATTTCGTAATTATTGGACCACTCTACATTTCCATTTATACGCTCGAGTATATGCTAAAGTTTTTTTAGCCTATTACTACTAAATATGTGTTCTTGTTACAATGACGTTATGTTGTAAAATATAATTACAAAACCAAAAGTTATTCACCATTGTCTTTCACTGTTTTTGAAAGAATAATGAACTTGTTTGAATTTAAACAAAATGACTGCATGCCCAGCCTTTGTTAGTTTCTGAAGGCTGTGGTCCTAGTCCCAGTCCTCTGCTCGACCCTGACGTTCTGGCATAACGTTGACGTCGTACAACTTAAGATTATTTGTTCAAAACGTTACCTAGCTCTATAACTCTATAATTAAAAAAAATCCAGATAAAATCCGAACAAATCCGGAAAATCCAAACAAATCCGGAAAATCCAACAGATTTTCAAAAATCCAGAAAAAATCCGAACAAATCCGGAAAATCCGAACAAATCCGGAAAATCCAGCAAATTTTCTCTTCAAAAATCCGCTAAAAAATCCGGGAAAAATCCGCTAAAAAATCCGCGGATTTTTAAAAATCCGAAAATCCCGTACGCTTTTTTTGAGTGAAATGCCCCTCGTTTACATTTGACCTATCAATGTTAAGCACCAGGATCAGGGGGGGGGCAAAGGCAACTGCAGCGCAATTTGACATTTGGATGAATGATTTTGTCAATCTTCCCACCCAGGTGCCTACGTTTTTTATCACATTGTCCCTATCAGAACCCCTATCTGGGGACGTTTGGAAAAACATCTAGATGTTTCAATGTAAACTAGTACTGTATTGCACGTCATGTTTTTATATTAGCATCCACACCAAATCGCAACTAAAATACAATACTGTGGTGGAAAACACAAACCTAACTCTAGGTTTAACCCTAACCCTACAATCGCGTGCAAAAATTCTTGAGACAAGCAGTTTATTGGCCCTCTCCTTGCTGCAACAATGCTTCTTGCCCCCCCCCCCTTGTGCAATGTTGTTAAAATGATTTTGAGGTCAGGGCTTATCAAATAATATGTTTTCAACATTGTTAATGGGGGGAGGTGGGCACGCACGTGAAAAAGATCACCAAAATGTGAAGAGTCTCATTATTTTGCACGCGATTGTCTATGTAGTTTCGAGTAATGATAATTTTAATACGGTTATTTCGCTTTGCCGTAAATAAGAAGCATAACAGCCTTTGCTTGCTGTGACTATGTGTTTCATGTGTGCCTAATGATTTTACCTACAGTGTGTAAAATTGTGACGTCACAATGACGTCATCGTGACGTCATAAATGACCGTAAATAGTTCATAAATTTAACGCGTCCCGCTTGAGTATCAAAACAGTTAGGACAAGATGCCATTGACAAGCAGATCACGTCAGAAAAGTTTGAACAATTTTCCGAATGAGTTAAAAGCACGACGATGAATTTGTCAAAAAGTTTTATGAACTGAATTATTATATCGATGAACAAACGTGTTGCAATGATCAGTGAGAAACGAGGAGAACGATTAAAGTATTAAATTTATTAAGTGCATGTTTCTATATTACAATGTTTTTCCCTATTTATACCGTTTATATTGGCAGTGCCTTTTGACTTCAATAACTGTTTTAGATGCTTAATAGTGACGAATGTATTAAGTACACACTTCTACCATGCATATTCAATAAAAGTACTATGCGAAAACTCAACGACTTATTGCCTACGTGAAAATTATTTTGAAGACCTTATACATGCATACAAACTAAATAGAACTCAATTTCAACACGTTACGCACACGTTACGCGCACGTTACCGCACGTTACGCCACACGTTACGCCTTTCACTATATAAGAATCTATAGCAAGCTGACACGTTACACACGTTACGCCTAATATATTAAAGGTAAACCTATTCTACCTTTAAAAGAATGGGACGTAACGTGTCGGTTTTCATTAATATTCTATACAAAGTCAAGCGTAACGTGTGGCGTAACGTGTGCGTAACGTGTCATCTATTCTTATATATTTCATTGAGAGTAAATGTGCAATGATGGCAGCATGAAAAAAGTTCATCCAAAAACACCAGTTCGTCAAAACAGCGTGGGTACGGAGACAGGTCTTTCTGCTCCGCCTGCGGAATCTTCCGGGTAAACTCAAAGACCCTCCACCAAACAAACCAGATAATTTCTGTTTCGCGTTCGTCAATCTGTCCGTTTCTGCCGTAGTAGAAAATTGCGTTGCATAAAGTTGCAAAAATTGGATGTCAGAGTCCAGATTGAAAAGTTAGAACAGGAGACATAGAGGATCCAATAAGCAGTTCAAAACGGTTGTTTACTCGTACCCAGTCCCCCATTCTGCGTCTTTTGAGTCCATTTTTGTGCGAGTTTCGCACGAAAACTAGATCACTGGGCTTAAAGCGCGAAAAATGAAAATTTTGGCCGAGACTGCTTTAAGTTCAAATTTTTGGCAGAAATTTAATTAACTTTGTGAACACAATGAGGCCACTGCTAAGACAATCGCGTGCAAAAATTCTGGAGACAAGCAGTTTATTGGCCCTCTCCCTGCTGTAACAATGCTTCTTGCCCCCCCCCCCTTGTGCAATGTTGTTAAAACGATTTTGAGGTCAGGGCTTATCAAATAATATGTTTTCAACATTGTTAATGGGGGGAGGGGGGCACGCACGTGAAAAAGATCACCAAAATGTGAAGAGTCTCATTATTTTTGCACGCGATTGTCTATGTAGTTTCGAGTAATGATAATTTTAATACAGTTATTTCGCTTTGCCGTAAATAAGAAGCATAACAGCCTTTGCTTGCTGTGACTATGTGTTTCATGTGTGCCTAAGGATTTTACCTACAGTGGTGTAAAATTGTGACGTCACAATGACGTCATCGTGACGTCATAAATGACCGTAAATAGTTCATAAATTGAACGCGTCCCGCTTGAGTATCAAAACAGTTAGGACAAGATGCCATTGACAAGCAGATCACGTCAGAAAAGTTTGAACAATTTTCCGAATGAGTTAAAAGCACGACGATGAATTTGTCAAAAAGTTTTATGAACTGAATTATTATATCGATGAACAAGCGTGTTGCAATGATCAGTGAGAAACGAGGAGAACGGCTAAAGTATTAAATTTATTAAGTGTTTCTATATTACAATGTTTTTCCCTATTTATACCGTTTATATTGGCAGTGCCTTTTGACTTCAACAACTGTTTTAGATGCTTAAATAGTGACGAATGTATTAAGTACACACTTCTACCATGCATATTTCAATAAAAGTACTATGCGAAAACTCAACGACTTATTGGCTACGTGAAAATTATTGTGAAGACCTTATACATGCATACAAACTAAATAGAACTCAATTTCAACACGTTACGCACACGTTACGCCACACGTTACGCCTTTCACTATATAAGAATCTATAGCAAGCTGACACGTTACACACGTTACGCCTAATATATTAAAGGTAGACCTATTCTACCTTTAAAAGAATGGGGCGTAACGTGTGTAACGTGTCGGTTTTCATTAATATTCTATATAAAGTCTAGCGTAACGTGTGGCGTAACGTGTGTGTAACGTGTGCGTAACGTGTCATCTATTCTTATATATTTCTTTGAGAGTAAATGTGCAATGATGGCAGCATGAAAAAAGTTCATCCAAAAGCACCAGTTCCTCAAAACAGCGTGGGTACAGAGACAGGTCTTTCTGCTCCGGCTGCGGAATCTTCTGGGTAAACTCAAAGACCCTCCACCAAACAAACCAGATAATTTCTGTTTCGCGTTCGTCAATCTGTCCGTTTCTGCCGTAGTAGAAAATTGCGTTGCATAAAGTTGCAAAAATTGGATGTCAGAGTCCAGATTGAAAAGTTAGAACAGGAGACATAGAGGATCCAATAAGCAGTTCAAAACGGTTGTTTACTCGTACCCAGTCCCCCATTCTGCGTCTTTTGAGTCCATTTTTGTGCGAGTTTCGCACGAAAACTAGATCACTGGGCTTAAAGCGCGAAAAATGAAAATTTTGGCCGAGACTGCTTTAAGTTCAAATTTTTGGCAGAAATTTAATTAAGTTTGTGAACACAATGAGGCCTCTGCTAAGACAATCGCGTGCAAAAATTCTTGAGACAAGCAGTTTATTGGCCCTCTCCTTGCTGTAACAATGCTTCTTGCCCCCCCCCCTTGTGCAATGTTGTTAAAACGATTTGGAGGTCAGGGCTTATCAAATAATATGTTTTCAACATTGTTAATGGGGGGAGGGGGGCACGCACGTAAAAAAGATCACCAAAATGTGAAGAGTCTCATTATTTTTGCACGCGATTGTCTATGTAGTGTCGAGTAATGATAATTTTAATACGGTTATTTCGCTTTGCCGCAAATAAGAAGCATAACAGCCTTTGCTTGCTGTGACTATGTGTTTCATGTGTGCCTAACGATTTTACCTACAGTGTGTAAAATTGTGACGTCACAATGACGTCATCGTGACGTCATAAATGACCGTAAATAGTTCATAAATTGAACGCGTCCCGCTTGAGTATCAAAACAGTTAGGACAAGATGCCATTGACAAGCAGATCACGTCAGAAAAGTTTGAACAATTTTCCGAAAGAGTTAAAAGCACGACGATGAATTTGTCAAAAACTACTATCAACTGAATTATTATATCGATGAACAAGCGTGTTGAAATGATCAGTGAGAAACGAGGAGAACAATTAAAGTATTAAATTTATTAAGTGTTTCTATATTACAATGTTTTTCCCTATTTATACCGTTAATATTGGCAGAGCCTTTTGACTTCAATAACTGTTTTAGATGCTTAATAGTGACAAATGTATTAAGTACACACTTCTACCATGCATATTCAATAAAAGTACTATGCGAAAACTCAACGATTTATATACAAACTAAATAGAACTCAATTTCAACACGTTACGCACACGTTACGCACACGTTACGCCACACGTTACGCCTTTCAGTATATAATAATCTATAGAAAGCTGACACGTTACACACGTTACGCCTAATATATTAAAGGTAGACCTATTCTACCTTTATAAGAATGGGGCGTAACGTGTGTAACGTGTCGGTTTTCATTAATATTCTATATAAAGTCAAGCGTAACGTGTGGCGTAACGTGTGCGTAACGTGTGCGTAACGTGTCATCTATTCTTATATATTTCTTTGAGAGTAAATGTGCAATGATGGCAGCATGAAAAAAGTTCATCCAAAAGCACCAGTTCCTCAAAACAGCGTGGGTACGGAGACAGGTCTTTCTGCTCCGGCTGCGGAATCTTCTGGGTAAACTCAAAGACCCTCCACCAAACAAACCAGATAATTTCTGTTTCGCGTTCGTCAATCTGTCCGTTTCTGCCGTAGTAGAAAATTGCGTTGCATAAAGTTGCAAAAATTGGATGTCAGAGTCCAGATTGAAAAGTTAGAACAGGAGACATAGAGGATCCAATAAGCAGTTCAAAACGGTTGTTTACTCGTACCCAGTCCCCCATTCTGCGTCTTTTGAGTCCATTTTTGTGCGAGTTTCGCACGAAAACTAGATCACTGAGCTTAAAGCGCGAAAAATGAAAATTTTGGCCGAGACTGCTTTAAGTTCAAATTTTTGGCAGAAATTTAATTAACTTTGTGAACACAATGAGGCCACTGCTAAGACAATCGCGTGCAAAAATTCTGGAGACAAGCAGTTTATTGGCCCTCTCCCTGCTGTAACAATGCTTCTTGCCCCCCCCCCTTGTGCAATGTTGTTAAAACGATTTTGAGGTCAGGGCTTATCAAATAATATGTTTTCAACATTGTTAATGGGGGGAGGTGGGCACGCACGTGAAAAAGATCACCAAAATGTGAAGAGTCTCATTATTTTGCACGCGATTGTCTATGTAGTTTCGAGTAATGATAATTTTAATACGGTTATTTCGCTTTGCCGTAAATAAGAAGCATAACAGCCTTTGCTTGCTGTGACTATGTGTTTCATGTGTGCCTAATGATTTTACCTACAGTGTGTAAAATTGTGACGTCACAATGACGTC